TGTTCGTACAACGCGGCCGGTCTCGCGAATCGAGGGGCCATGTTCATGTACATAGCTGGGCGCGTACGTCCTTTGTGGGCTCCCTAGAACATCCTGGCTCCACGCCTCCTGATGCGATCCGAACTCCTGGACACTGCCATCCCTTGCAAGAAATAGTATTTCCTGCCAGCCCTGGATGTAAACCGGCGCCGTCCCTTGCAAAACATGGTATTTCCTGCTCATGCGTGCTGTAAACCCTCGCCATCACTTGCAACAACATATTATTTCCTGATCATGCGTGCTGTGAACCCTCGCCATCCTTTGCGCATAATCATTATTTCCTGATCACGCGCGCTGTAAACCCTCGCCATCCCTTGCACAAAAATATCCGTAAGGGCTTCGCCCCCTGCCGCCGGCCCTCTCTCTCGGAGAATGGGCCATGGAAGAGCTAAGTCATGAGGCCTTGGCGCTGTCGTGAAGCAGTATCGAAACTTCATGCGAAGCCGAGTCGCAATCAGCAAAACCAAATGATCACAAGAGGGGTTACCACACCTGGCGATTGGTAAGACGTGTATGGTTTAAGGGCTTGGTTACCACACCTTGCGATGAAAGGGCCGAGGGAGTTCTCGCAGTTTGGGTTACCACGCCTTGCGATGGATGTGCGTGATGGGTTCGAATTTCAGAAATGTGGCAAATCCCATGTGTTTTTGGACCCTGACCCCGCGGATCTGCGTGAGGGGTGGCGCCGAATTTCAGAAATGTGGCAAATCCCATATGTTTTTGGACCCTGACCCCGCGGATCTGCGTGAGGGGTGGCACCGAATTTCAGAAATGTGGCAAATCCCATGTGTTTTTGGACCCTGACCCCGCGGATCTGCGTGAGGGGTGGCACCGAATTTCAGAAATGTGGCAAATCCCATGTGTTTTTGGACCCTGACCCCGCGGATCTGCGTGAGGGGTGGCACCGAATTTCAGAAATGTGCAAATCCCGTTTTTGGACCCTGACCCCGCGGATCTGCGTGAGGGGTGGCACCGAATTTCAGAAATGTGGCAAATCCCTTGTGTTTTTGGACCCTGACCCCGCGGATCTGCGTGAGGGGTGGCACCGAATTTCAGAAATGTGGCAAATCCCTTGTGTTTTTGGACCCTGACCCCGCGGATCTGCGTGAGGGGTGGCACCGAATTTCAGAAATGTGGCAAATCCCATGTGTTTTTGGACCCTGACCCCGCGGATCTGCGTGAGGGGTGTCGATTTCGAGCCCCCCCAGCAATTCAGACAACGCGCCCAGGGGACGCTGGAAAATCCTGTTTGGGCCTCCCCCCCTCGCGCGGTCAATCAACTAGTTTCAGTAACCAGCAACAAGTCAACTAGTTACAGTAACCAGCAAGAAGCAGAACTGTAACACTGGAAACTGGAAACTACAACTGGTACAGGAAACTGCGAATCACGTGCCTACAGCCTGGTGGCCCCACAAGGGGGCCGGCGGATTATTTCCTGACGTTCATACACCTGTGAGACTTTCCTTAACAAGGAAGTACTCTCTAGGTCCCCGAAAGTTCTTTATGGTAGGGTGATTTGCGGGTGGGGCTGGCGGCCACCGCAGGTGGGCTCCTAGGCAGGAGGTGATCAGTTGCGGCAGAGCTTGTAGACCCTAAACCGTAAACCCTAACGCTGGTGATACCGCAGTTCCTCTATGGGCCTCGGTGAGAAGGGAGTTCACGTGGGCCAGTCATCTCATCGTCCTCGCCTGCCGTGGTCTATCTGCCCCGTGGGCTTCGGCGATTTCGGTGGCGGACGCTTCTAGCTGGGGCATGGGCGCATGCGTTCAGGACCTCGACCCCCTCGTCGTCGCTGACTCAGGCAAGCACAACGAGCGATGGAGGTTCACTCGGGACGACGAGAACGACTGGTGTCCTCGGGACTCGGCCCTCCTGGCCTCTCGCCTCGGGGGCTTCTGCCCTGCGTCGCCTCGGCTGGAACCGCCTCGGCCCCTTGGGCCCCGGCCCGACATTCATCTCGCTCCCGCCTCGGCTGCGTCCGAAAGGACTGGGCCTGAACAGCTCTGGTGTTCTTCGGGCGCCCTCCTCTCGTCGCTTGCGGCCGGCTCGCCTCGCAATGCTGGCCTGGGTCCGGGGGGTTTTTGGCGCCCGGCGCCTCGGGATTGCTCGGGTCCTGCGCCTCCGGAGGACGGCCCGCGGGGCCCGGCTGGGACCTGCCCCGGGGGCACCTCGTCGGCACCGTTGGGTCCGCGTCCTGATGCTTTCCCCCCGATCCCGTCGTGGGTGTGGGGCGGTGAGTGGCGCCTTGGGACCTCTCGGTCCTGGGCCCGCTCCGAGCCTCAGGCGTGCCTCGAAGGTCGGGCGATGGTCTGGTCTACTAAGCGGTGCACCCGTTCACTGGCCTCGTTCGGTTGTCGGCACCTTCACCTCGGGGACTCTATGGCGCCCATTCAAGCGGCGACGAATGGCCGCTCCTCGGCGCGGGGAATGATGCGGATATGCCGGCAGCACGCTGCGCTAGCCTTCGCGTCCTTCTCCTATCGCGTGCGGCGGTGGGTCCTGTCCGAGCACAATGCCAGCCCCCCTGACCCACGTTCTCAAGCCTGGGGGGGAGGGAAAGGAGGAGGACGGAGGAAAAGGATGCGCATGCTGGTTTGCTGCCGAACTCAGGGCCCCTGTGCATCTGTCCAGGCACCCGCGCGGGTATCAGCAACAATAATCATGAAGGGTCCCCATCCTAGCATGAATGTGAATGTGCATGAGGGGCCTTAGCCCCAGCAAGTGCATGTTCACGCACAGGGGGCTGAAGCCCCAGCATGAATAATGCGTTGCATGAGGGTCCAGAGTCCCATCATGCTTCTGACGCGCTGATTCAGACGAATCGGGGTCACACGCGTGAGTGGCCAAGGCCCCAGCGTGAGGGGTCGACGCATGAGGGGCCGAATCCCCGGCAATGGAGGTCGACGCATGAGGGGCAAAACCCGGGCATAAGGGGTCAGTGCATGAGGGGTCAACGCCCTGGCATGAGGGGTCCACGCATGAAGGGCCAATGCCCCAGCAAGGGGCCAACGTGAGAGGGGCCAAGGCCCGAGCACAGTGCCTGTCCAGGTACCCGCGCGGGTAACAGCAACATTAAAAAGAAAAAAACATGAAGGGGCAGCGCCCTAGCAAGGATGCGAAGGTGCATGAGGGGCCGTAGCCCCAGCAAGCGCATGATGACGCATGAAGGGTTTGAGCCCCAGCATGATCAGTGCGTTGCATGAGAGGTCTAAAGCCCCAACACGTTTCTGACGCGCTGATCCAGTCGAATCAGCAGGCCAGGGGCTATTGCAAACTTACTGCGCAGGGGTCCGTAGTCCCTGGCCCTACAAGGCAGCGGTCGGAGTGCCGCCCTGTTCTCTACGGCTGGTTTACTGATCCGGTCGAGTCAGTGGGCCATGGGCTACCGCGAACTTGCTATGCAGTTGTCCATTGTCCCTGACCCTGACAGCTTTACTGCTGGCAAGCTGGTCCTGTCGAATCAGCGGGTCGGGGGCTACTCTGAACTTGCTGCGCAGTGGTCCGTAGTCCCCGACCTTACTTGACGCAGGCGGCAACTGCGGCAAGCATCAAGGATGATGCGCGGGTCCGGCTACAGGCGAAATCCGTGATTTCGTAGTTCTCTGCTGCCCGACGCATGGGCCTCAGCCTCGGTACTGGTATGGGCAAGAATACCCTCTACAAGGTGCAAGACAGGGGAAGACCCACCCCCATACAGCCGGATCAGGTCGCTGCCCTGCGGAGGTAACACCTCGTGCGAATACCCAATAATAATTTGACTCATAAGACAGGTATGGAGGAGCTGGGAAACGATGCCCAGCCTCCTGATATGTCGAGAAAGCAATTGGTCGCTCGATGTGGCGGGGTTGGGATGGCCACTGTTTGAGACCGGATTGCCTGTGTCGCCCTGGTGGCGTAACTCCAGAGGGCTCGGGCGAGGTGCTCTTCGGTCGGTCTCCTTACAGGCGCCCCGTACGTCCTCACCCGACTACCCAACAGGAGCCCTGCGCACTGTTGGCACGGGGAGGAGGAAGAGGAAGAGGAGGAGGAGGAGGAAGAGGAGGAAGAGGAGGAGGAGGAGGAGGAGGAGGAGGAGGAGGAGGCAAAGGAGGAGGACGGGAGTTGTGCGGAGGGGCCGTCGCTGCAGCCTGCGGCTGGCCCACCGCCGCCGCCGCCGCCCCCTGGTGAAGAAGGGCGGCCGCTCAGCTGGGACGGGACGGGCGGCAACAACGTGTAGGCACCAACCCCGATGGACAACCCAGGAAACGTTGCCTAGAAACTGCTTGGGAGTTGCGCGCGCTGAGGAAACGCTGCTTAGGAGTTTCCTAGGAGTTGCGCGCGAGCTTAGGACATGTTGCATCGGAGTTTCGTAGGAATTGCGCGAGAATCTAGGACATGTTGCCTAGGAGCTGTGCGCGTAACGACGACGAAACGATGCCCAGGAGCTGCGCAAACGCAAGCGCCCCCTGCTCACAAGAGGGTCGGCGCCACGGAGCCGCCCCGCACTGTGGCAAGAAAACGGCGGCCGCATGTGATCCCACGTGGCGCCCGGCAGGCGGCAAGGCGACTCGGGCACAGGCGCAGTGCCGCTCCGGGATGCTGGCGGGCGGGGCCCCTCCCCCGGGTTCTGCCAGTCTTGCGTGGGGCGCCATGCGTCTGGGCCGCGCGAGCCTCACCCCAGCGGGCCAGATGTCTTCCATCATTGCCCTCGGCCCGGGGCGCGGTGTCCACCATCGAGCAACAGGAAGTGGCGCAAGCAATACTTTCGGAGGCCCGCGCGGACCTCCGCACGCCCATGCTTATACCGTCCTCTTGTCATGGCAGGGGCGTGGCCCGCACATGACCCTCGTTGCTGGCCGCTTGGCGTCGCTCGGACGATTGCATTCGTTTCTCCGGCGAGGACCATCGAGGAGTGTCTTCGACCATTCATCGAGCAAACGAACGGCGCGCGCGAAACCGAGAAATGCACGGGGAATGGACGCCCGAGCGATGGCGAGGCCGTGGCCTGCACGACAGGTCGCGTCGGCCGCCCTTCTGGCCCTCGCGGGCCCTCGGTCGGCGCAGCCCCGGGCGCCGCGCGCGCCGGGCGCCGGGGCCCCGCCATGTGGCAGCGGCTCTGGGCGGGGCCCGCCCCGTGCGAGGACGTCCCGAAGGCCTCCAGCCTGCGGCCAGTGAAGAAGCTGAACAGCATCTCCAAGAGCGAGGACGGGGGGTCGGCGAAGGGCCCCGGCCCGGGCCTCCCAGGTGGGGTCCGAGCAGGCGGGTTCGGAGGATCGCGCGGCGTCGCCGACGCATCGGCGATGCGGCTCGATGTGGAACCCGATTTTCGCTACGACGACGGCGGCGATGCATCGTCGACGTCGCAAATTCATCGCCGATGCATCGGCGATGCGGCACGATCCTCCGACCCTATCTGCTCGGACCCCCTCTTGGGAGGCGTCTACCCAGGGGCGCCGATGGCTCGTGTCTCCCCAGCGAATGCGTGTACTGCCCGCCCCTGAGCTATTCGGGGCTACGCGTTTGTAGCCCTCCCAGATGGGGTCGGAGTAGACGGGGTCGGAGGACCGCGCCGCAATGCCGATGCATCGCCGACGCTGCTCGATACGGGGCCCGATTTGCTTCACGTCGACGTCGACGATTCAACGATACATCGCCGATGAAGCGGCGATGCGGCGCGATCCTCCGACCCCATCTGCTCCGACCCCATCTGGGAGGCCTCTGGCGTTAGAGTGGCAATTCGCCAGGGCGACCCGTGGTGCGCGGCTCGCGGGGCGCGCGGGGGTGTCGAGCCCGAGCGCGCGGGCCGCTGCTGTCGTGTCGCGGCAGGCCGCGCACCGGATGTCGCCCGTGCCAGGGGTCACTCCTGCGTGCAGCCGATGTTCGTGGAGGAGGAGGAGGAGGAGGAGGAGGACGACGAGGAGGAGGAGGAGGAGGAGAAGAGGAGGAGGAGGAGGAGGAGGAGGAGGAGGAGGAGAGGAGGAGGAGGAGGAGGAGAAGAGGAGGAGGAGGAGGAGGGAGGAGGAGGAGGAGGAGGAGGAGGAGGAGGAGGAGGAGGAGGAGGAGGAGGAGGAGGAGGAAGGAGGAGGAGGAGGAGGAGGAGGAGGAGGAGGAGGGGGAGGGCGCACTACCACTCCCCCTGCGTGCAGCCGATGTTCGCCCGCCTCGTCGCCCCGAGAGGAGAACAGGGCCGCTTCGGCGCGGGTGGCCGAGCTGCAGGCGGCCCTCGCGCAGGAGCGGGAGCGCGTCGGCCAGAAGGACGAGGATCGGAGGCCCCGAGGTTGGCACCAGCACCAACACGTCGTCGTCGTCGTCGTTCGCCAGCGGGGACCCTCGGAGCTGCTGCCAAGGGGGACGACCAACACATCGGCGGTGTGCCTCCACCGAGGGAAGATATCCAGGCCTCCCACACTCAACCCGCATAGCAAGGATGAGTCGCTTTCCAAGGTTGCCCTTGCATCCCTCCCCTCCGGCCCAGCCCTTGCCGCTTTCGCTGGCCGCGCCCCGTTCTCAAAGTGTCGACATGGCCTTCCAACGCCCTTGCATCCTTATCGCGCGTCCTCATTTTACGGGCTGACCGTAGATGGGGTCGGAGGACCGAGCTTCGTCGCCGATGCATCGGCGATACGGATCGATGTTGAGCCGGTTTTTCTTCACGCCGGCGTTGCCGATGCATCGCCGACGCCGCCGACGCATCACCGATTCATCGGCGATGCATCAGCGATGCGCCGCGATCCTCCGACCCCGTGTATTCGGACCCCATCCCGGTGTGCCTCCACCGAGGGAAGATGATCCCGATGTTTGAGATGGTGGTCATACTCGGGCTTCATAGGGTGCCGATTGATTACAGTAAGCGCATCAAGCAAGAAATCAGCATGCAAGCGGGTGCCCCACTGAACGTCCTTATTCCTCGATGGCCCGAGGGACCCACAAAAGTTGCGGGGCGGCCCCTGATGTCCGAAGATCGACATCGAATGAGCCCCTGGATGTCTTGTGGCAGTGTGTCTTACCGTATGTGCTTGCTGCACCACAAACACGAAAAGCTGGGATCATCTTCCCCTGGTCGGTGGAGACAGCCACCCTGTGTTGGTGTTGGTGCCCATGGCCGAGCCTCCAAGAGGAGCTCCAGGCCGCGGGCCAGCTCGTCGCCAAGCTCGAGCAGGCCCTGGAGCTCCAGCAGAGGGAGCAGGAGCGCATCGCAACGCTCGAGGAGGCGCTCGCCAAGCGGCGGGGCGGTGAGGACGTGAAGGTTCGGGTGTTGCCAGAGGCAGAGGTGTACTCCCTTTCTTTGTCCAGACGCCATCTCTTCATCTCGACCCCCAGGGGGGCCCGCTTTCGGGCCCCGGGATCCGAGGAGGAGCAGGAGGAGGAGGAGGAGGAGGAGGAGGAGGAGGAGGAGGAGGAGGAGGAGGAGGAGGAGGAGGAGGAGGCAGGAGGAGGAGGAGGAGGAGGAGGAGGCAGGAGGAGGAGGAGGAGGAGCGGTCTCCGAATCTGCGGGACGCGGGCAAGCGGGACACAGGTTCAGGCGTCCTCGGCCCAACGTGCCCCCAGGATGTCCAGGGAGGCCCCCACGGCTTCCGGATCACCGGGGCCTCCGGAACACCCTGCACGAGGCCCAGAGGGCCCCAGGGGCTTCTGTGGGGGGCAGAAGATTGGAGACACATTTAGCCTTGGCCGCAACTCGTGAAAGTCTACATCTTAATCCGGCTTGATCCCGGGCTTGATCCATCTGCATCGGGTTGGCTGGCCCCTTGATCTGGCTTTATGAAGACTTCCGAGGAGTTGCGTCCTTAGCGGCCCACGGGAGGTGGAGAAGCTGCTGCTGGCGGTGGCTGGCGAGAAGCAGCTCGCCGAGGAGCGGGCGGAGGAGCTCGGACGAGCCCGGTCCCAGCTGGCGGAGGCGCGGAGGCTGCGCGAGGAGGAGCAGTCCAAGCGCCAGGGCGAGGAGAGGTGGCTCGCAGAGCTGGACGTCGGGCGGCGAGATCCGTACAGTCCAGGGTCGAGGCGCTAACATGAGTGCCATTTCCTCCTCCTCGTCCTCTTTCTCCTCGTCCTCCTCCTTCTCGTCCTCCTCCTCCTCCTGTTCCTCCTCCTCCTCCTCTTCCTCCTCCTCCTCCTCCTCCTCCTCCTCCTCCTCCTCCTCCTCCTCCTCCTCCTCCTCCTCCTCCTATCAAGCAATTGAGCCCGAGGGTTTTGCAGGTGCATTCTCGAGGGCCCACTGCTGCGCGCGAGCCGCGCGCCCGCGCCTGCCCTGCCCCGCAGGTGCGAGGCGTGCCCGCGGCTTGAGGGGCACGCCTTCGGCGTCGCAGAAATCGCGGCAGACGGCTACGACATGGGGGCACAGGCCCCGCCCTGGAAGAAAGGAGATCGCGCAGCCAGCAGAGCGCGATCCAGGTCACGGACGAAGAAAAATGGCCAGGGCGGGCAGAAGAGGCAGCATGTGGTTTGCAATGTGTGCAACACTTTTGGCAGCACCTGGATCTATTGCGGCCGCATCTCTGACAAGGGCAAGTGTGACAAGTGTGGTGCGGCATGGGCAGAGGTTCAAGCACGTGCAGCTGAGCCAGCCCCACAGTCCCAAGCCGTGGTCGCCCTCCTCGCAGACAAGTGCAACTTGGCCACAGAGAACAACACATAAGAATTGGATACGTTGGATCAAGCGTGCCCCCTTTTTCGAGCACCTGAGCCCAAACCTCCACCTGAGCCGAAGCCTTTTTTTCGATGAGCTGGAAGCTGCGGCGCAGGAGCTCCGCAAGGTCAGTGCAGCGGGGGAGAAGCTCCGCAAACGCCTCCAACGCAATGGTGGGGAGCAGATGGATATCTTGCAGACGCTGGCCGACAACAAAGCGGAGGAGAAGGAGGCTCAGATAAAGGTGGACCTGTGTCGTGAGAAGGCCAACACGGGACAGCCCGCAGCCCCTGCCGCTCCACAAGACGACCCAGCTACTCCAGAACTTCCCCTTCAATAGCTGGCATTACTGGGAGGGGAATAGAAGCGACAATACGAAGCAGCACGAGAAGCAGCAGCGGCAGCACAAGAGACCCTGGAGGCAGCCAGAGGAGCTACGCAGGCGCGAAAGGAGGTTGCCGAGAACCTCCGCAAGTTTGCGCGCAAAGCCCAGGAGCGCAAGAGGCGGCGAGCTCACGATGGCCCAGCACCTTGAGGAGTGCAGGCGGAACCTGGGAAAGTTTCGACCGATACTGGGGTAAAAACTGAAAAAGACAGTGCACCCGCTTGGAGGTTATGATTTCACGAAGGCGGAGCACGCGGACCAGTGCCTGGAGCAGACGACGAGGACCCGCCACACAACTAAACCCCCAATTGGCGCCAAGGCGGAGGAAGAAGAGCGTCTTCAGAAAGAGCGCGTGCGTCAAGTTCCAGGACCCCATATGCGATTTCGAGGATCCGCCAGAGGACTCCGCCAGCGCCAGCCGCGACAAGAGCAAATACAACGTCGCGGCTCTGGATTTCATCGCGCAGTCGAAGCGCGATCTGGCGGGCCTTGTGGAGCACCACCTCACGACAGAGAAGGCGTCCGACGAGGCGCAGCGGCTTCAGTCCATGGGAGGCCTTCGCAGCATACATGGGCGGCAGCGAGGCGCACTGGGCGCTTCTCTGGGGGCACCCACGGGGGGGCACGCTGGCTTCGCCGTTCTCACTTACAGACAGCAGCGCACTTGCCCACGGCCAAGGGCAGTAGCACCGTCGAGAAGGAGCTGAAGGACATAGCGGCGGTGCGCTGGGACCCAGAAGGAGTCATCACAATTTCTTCGTTCGTCGTGCGCTTGGACACCGGCCCTGGCCCGAAGGGGACAACCGCCAAGAAGTTGCATCAGCTGCCGCAGCTGCTGGCCAGCATCGAGACCCCGTGGGCAGCCGTGGGGGATTGGAACGTTGCGCCAGAAGGCCACGCGCAGCCGCCATTGGTTGGAAAAGAAGTCGGCAGCGCAACCGGCTGCCCCAACTGGGGCACGCGCTACTTGCGCGAGTGGGATTGGCCGCGTCTTGGATTGGTTTCTCCGCCCGCCATCCTTCCGGCCTTTTCCTGGGAAGTGCGGCGGCAAGGGCCAACGTGCCATGTCGCCCTCATCTCGGCATCCTGATCAAGATATCGCGAAGGTAGCGCGAAGGCCAGCAGACCTTCGAGTACTCCATCCAGTAGGAGCTGATTAGCATCAGATTCCATTCATCGCGACGCAGGTGGAACAAGGGTCTGAAGCGCCGACGGAGGGGCCGCGAGAAGCGCAAGCGCCTCACAGAGCACGCGACGGCCGAAGAGCTCGAGAAGGACGAGGCAGAGCTCGCAGGAGAGCAGACAGCTTTTAGACTGGAGCGTCGAGAGATAGAGAGCCTTCCCCCCCCACGTGCACACCGAGCAAGTCTCGGCCACAGTTGAAGCTGAGCAGCGGCAACAAATTTGGCGGCAAGTAGAATTATGCGACCTGCCAGACGTGGATGACCTCACCCAGAGCAGCATGGCGTTGCAGCTCACGCAGCAGGCCAGCAAGGAGCTCGGTGGCAGGTATGCGCGCGCAGTGGGCGCAAGCAGCGGGTCGCTCCTTGGCGATCCTCTGTGGCAGGGGTGGAGATGCCAACGCTGCGCGCGGCAAGCCTGTTTGGCGTCGCCTGCCCCGCGCGGCGCGCCGCCGAGCAAAACGCCCGCTGGATCCTGAACAGGCCCAGTATGATCGCTAGACAGAGTTAGGCTCTCTGCCCAGGAACTTGGGAGTGGCCGCGAAGAGCGATCGTCGCCAGGATCTACGCAGTCAGATCAAGGGACACATCGAGAACGCGGAAGGCTTAGGACGCCCACCCTTGCCTGCGCCCTGCGCGCACGGAGCGCGCCACGATGGAGAGGATGACGCGCGGGCACTCGACGCGATCGAGAAGACGGAGTTGGACCCAGCAAACCCCGCGCGGCAGGAGGCATTGTCTAAGGCCAGCAATCGAGCAGGGCGACGCGGCACGCGAGCACGGCAGCAAGCGAACGTCAACATCTACAAGTGGGCCAGGAAGGCGCTCGACGGCAAAATGGAGGAATTCCGCGGATACTTGAGGCGGCCTGGTAGTTTATCCATTCTCGAGTTATGCCTCGACGCGGACGGGCGCGGGGCGATGGTCAATCCGCGGGGCGCAGTCGAGGCCAGGGCTAAGCAGTGGCGGGCGCGTTGGACACAGCGTGCTGACCGCGGTGAATGCGAGTGCCACATGCGATGGCTGCGCAGGCTGGCCAAAGAACAAGCTGCAGAAAAAGGGGGCCCATATAGGTGGACCAATTGGAAGGGGCGTTACGAGCGACACCCAATTCTTCAGGCTAAGGTTCAGATAGGTGGCGAGTGCAGCACCTTCAGGCATTGGCGACAGGAGCCAAACAGGAATTGGCGGATTTGCTGACGGATTGCGAACAACAGATTGCGTGGCCACACCAATGGTTGCACGCGCGGCACGACCTACTGCGCAGAGGCAGCAACAGGACTGCAGGAGACGAGAGGCCAATCGGGCTGATCCATCTACCTGCACGCCTGCGAGGACGAGCGCGGCAACCAGGCGTTGCCGAATGGGGCCGGACCAGAGCGGCGTTCTGGGATGCAGCAGTTGGGAAGCCGTCGGCTTCGCAAGCAGCCTCATTCAGCGTGGTCATGGATGAGCAGTGCAAGATGATCGAACCAAGGCATGGGGCTCCGTTTACTTAGATGCCAAGAAGTTCTACAACGCGATACCAACCCCGCTCCTCATAGAGCGGGCCTTGGCTTTGGATTCCCCCAGTGGAATTGCATTTGACTTGTGCAACGTACTTAGCGCCAGGAGCAGCGCTGGCTGCGGGCGCTGTCGCACCACCACTTTTGCCATCGAGAAACATTGCTCCTGGATGGAATCATGCGAAACATCGGGCCCGAGCTTTCTCGCGCACTGTGCTGGAGAAGGCGCGCCACCGCGTGCCGAGAGCGCTGCCGCGTCAGCGCGTGGGCGACGTCACCGCGCGGTCCGAGGGGGGGGTGCGTCGAGCGCGACTTAGTCTGCGTCGCGGTGGGGTTGGTCAAAGTTTGCGTGGCTAGCAAGGTGGCGATGTCTGAGGAGTCCACCACCACGGCGCCCCACCCCAGCATCGGGAAGGCGGTGGGCAAGGCAGCGCTGGCAGTGGGTGCGTCGGTCGCGTCGGCGGCGCACGTCAGAGACTCGGGCGTGGGCTTGGCCAGAGGACGGACGCGCACAGCGACCGCCCGAACTCGACGGAAGGCGGCCAGAGCACGAGCAAGGAGAGCTCGAGCTTTCAAAGGGGCAGGCAGACGACGTCGCACGCCCCCATCACCCTTAGCATAGCCAGCGCGCGCGCCAAGTCCAACTACGACGTACCTGTAGCAGGCGTGCCACCTTCAGCGAGGCGCCCAGGAACGCCACGAGGCCCCCTGGGCGCTCCAAGAGGCCGGGGGGCCCTTTCTCTACGCGCTGCCCACTTCCCTGATCGAGGCAATTCCTGTGGGCATCGTTTCCGAAGCGTCTGAAATTCAAGGCCCATCGGAGCTGGGGTGGCATCCCAGCGAACCAGATCAGCGGAGGGACTCGAGGGGCGCGACATGGCGCATGACAGGGTCTGCGGCGACAGCCCCCACAGCGTCGGCTACGCTGCTCCGACGACAGCGGCCACTACGCGGGCACCTCGCGCGGCGCTTCTTTCCCAGGGAGCGGCTTCGTCTACTTCGCAGATGGCAGGGGCGTTCTGGGAGTTAGCAAATCCCGTTTCGCCCAGGTTCAGCGCCGCCGACGCTCTGCCTCAAGACGCGGCCCCCCCCACTAGTATTCTACGCGGATGGCGAGCGCGACCCTTTCGATGCCATGGAGGACGACGGGTGGGATGCCACGCCAGCGACGGGAATGCAGGACAGCGCCGCCACCGGGGCCCAGGAGGCACGCGCTGCTCAGCGGTCGAGAGCGCCCCCGCCAGAAGGCCCGGCCCTTCCTGAGCC